TGAAAACGAGAAACAAAGAAGGAAATGAAAGAAATAAGAAAGCACAAATATGAAAAAAGAATATGAAAAATTCAAGAAATGGAAAAAAAAAAACGAACGAGAGAAAATAAAAAAGAACGAAAAAAGAAAACAAGAATGAAAGAGAAAAACAAAAAGAAGAAATAAATTATTAAAGAAAGATGAAGTCTCAGTTCTTCTGGAAGTTTAAAATAAAATGTTCTATAGAATAATGGGGGGCACGGATTGAGAATTCGGAGAGCCGAGTTCGAATTGCATTACATTCACCTACGTGCTAATATTTACGTATGAATTTTCTTCTTCTCCCACCAGCTATGGGTAAACAGATCGGGTTCTCTAGCCGCAGAAAGAAATGGCAACCTAAAGTCTGCCTCGTCAGTCATCGCCGTATCGTCGAAAGATACATGATTGCCTAAGCGTGTATCACGCATGGCACATAACTGACTGATAGGGTTTCATAATTGTGAAGAAGCAAAATAAATCAAGCAGTGGATGATAAGATGAAAATAAAAGCAACCGGAACCAAATACCAGGACCTCACACGGGATCTGAAAAAGCTGTCGATTAGGTTCACTTAGATGAGTTCTAAAATGCTAGAGGTAAGACTAGGAATTGGTGTATGTGCGATATTAGGGTATAGGGACAATAGTGAGAAGAAAAAAACTCTAGATATCTGAGGACTTTGTTGTCAAATAATTTTCAGCAATCAACATTAGATTTGTGTAAATGTATAAATAAAAAATGATCACAATGTTCCTGGTTAAAGAGCTTGAAAGAATTAGGGATTCCAGAAAGTAATGTGTCAGTACAAAATGTTGAAACTGTACGGTAAGCTTGATATATTTTGGGAAAGATATTAAAATCATCCTAAATTTATACTGGAAGAAAACCGTTTGCATACAGACAGAAAATAAACTAAATAAAAATTGAAAGGAGTATCAGACAAGGATGTATCTTCTAACTAGATTTATTCAACCTTTACAACGAGGTGATTCTGAAAGAATTAAAATTTCTACCATGACTTATGATTGGCGACAACGATCTTAATATTAGATATGCAAATGACAGTGATAAAAGCAGACTGAGAAAGGAAAATACAGGAAATCCTACAGAAAATAGTAATGAAAAGTGACAAGAAATGAGTAAGCATTACTTGAAAGATAACAATGTATAGCTCTCAGCAAGATTTTACTATTGAAATGACTAGATGTAACCATAAGCTCTATGCTAAGAGCTTCTTTTCTAACCCATTTCTTCTATAGAACTCTCTTCCGGCTTGCTTTCCAATCAACTTTGGTCTTCAGAAATTTAAATGCCGTGCCAATCGTTATCTTCTAAGTCTTCTTGGGTTTGACGATAAAATAAATCCAGTAGCAAGGACACTGATCGGGAGATTGGAGATTTTGAGAAGCGTAGAACAACCTCATAATTGCTGTTGTTCCCAGGTCCACCCTGACCTGGGGTGGTAGCACCTGTTAGGGTCCCAGCTATGGGCAAATAGTTAACCCTAAAACTAGGATCAAAACACTGTGAAAGTACAAAATAACATTTTTATAGTAAAAATACCAGCAATACATTTTCATAATAAAAAAACAAAAAACCCAGCAACACATTTTTGGAAAAAGAAATTACTAATGCTCCCAAGAAAATTAAATTTCAGCATTAAATGACCCAAAAGAAGTTGATATGCCGCTAAATAAACAAACAAATCTTCTAAGTTTTTTAATTATTTTTCGTTTATTGTTGTCTCTCCTTAATGATTTTTATCTTATTCTCTGACACTCAGCAACGCCTCTTGCATCTTAGAGACTTTATTGTCTTGCTTGGGGTGAGAAATAAAAAAGAGCCCAAAATGCGAGTTAAAACTGGAGACGCCGAAATCAAGTAATTACGAAAATATTTAGAAAGTCTTTTGATAGAAGACGGAAAGTGCGACAACGAAATCCGAAGCGCATCGGGTTAGTGAAAGATGCCTTCTTAAAGCTAAGCAATATATTGAGAAACAGGAAAATCTCGTTTGAAACAAAGGAAATAGTACTGAACAGTTATGTAATATCAGTCTCCCTATACACCAGTGAATGTTGGACAATCTCCTGACAGATGAAGAAGAGACTTGAATCAACAGAAATGTGGTTCTACAGAAGGATAGTGACAATGCCATGGGCTGAATATGCGAGCAATGATTAAGTTTTATGGAAAATAGCAACAAAAAGAAAATTTGTAATTAACATCAGAAACAGGTGAAATGTCTTGGGCACATAATGAGGAAAGAGGGCTTCGAGAATTTGACACTGACAGGACGTATTGAAAGGAAGAGAGAGAGAGATCATAACCTACCTAACGGACTTGTGTAAATGGTTGATTGTTGTGTGGTAAATAGGAAAGGTTTGCACACATATAGAATATAAGTAGTTTATTCCGGGGAATAATATTGTACACGGTTGAGAACGCAGACTAATATAATAAACAGTTAAGCGTTAACTCCTCGGCCAGGCCAGTTTTTAACGTGGGGCTTTCTGAAGGCGTACGCTCGGACAAACATTCCCTGCAGATCCCGCATACACACGAACAGGTGGCCGTCTACCTAGCCAGACGAGACTCTGCGCTTCGGCATAGGCTCGTCTGAGTTCCTATCCGCCTAAAGGCAGAGAGGTCGACTATCAGAACTTTAACGAAATCTAACCGTTAGATACTCGGTATTTAACTGTGACCTCCGTACAAGGCGGTATGTGGCACAAGGTCGTTTTTTTAACGTGGGTATTTCCGAGTGTGTACGCACGGGTAAAAAATCCCCGTAGACCCCTCTTTGAGGTGGAGTAGCTGTCTACCACCACAGACGTGACTCTGCCCTTCGGCATTGCCTAGTCTGGGTTCCTCACCGCCCAAAAGTAAAGAGTCGGCAAGCAGAGTTAACTGTAATCATTAACTGCATTATTTATTCTTGTATAAATACAAGAGTTGTGACACAAGGCCGAAAAGTGGTAAATGAGTTGAGGCTGGTCTACACTAATTATCCTATACTTAATTAATCAAACCCATTCATTCAATACAATTTGCTCATTCAACACAAAAACTCATCTCTCATCATTTAATCCTTCATATACCACAATACTACAAATTTACAATGATCTCACAATACACCACATGACATAAAATTTTCTTTGTGTATAAAATTATGCATAAAAAATTCATCGATGGTATGAAATGAGGGGGTGGGCTGAATCCGAAAACAATCTAAAATATAGCGAAACCCACAAACTAAAAATAATTGATGTTAGGACCCGTCCACCCCTCAAAAATTAGAATGGACGCTATATTCTGTCTTCAGACAAAATCAAAGGCTCTCTTGCTAAAGTAGAGGGAAGAATAAAATAAATACGGAGATGGGAGAATCATAAAAACTGATCCTGTCTAGATGAAAAAGGCAGCCCCAAAAACAAATTGGGGAGGTTGGAAATATCGATTTAAATCATAACAAAAGAAGAAGCCAAGAATGACACTAATATTAACTAGGTGCCCAAGAAGAGTCTATCTTAACCAGTGGAGGGCTCCGCGGAAAACCGCCCCATTGCGACATAGGAGGAATAGTAGAAATTCAAGGCTAGCCACGTTTACGCGAACCAAGCTTGCTGCAGTTACCCACCTTTCGCTGAAATCTGTCGATATCAAACGCTTTCTATCAAATGCTATTAAAATGATTAACTTAACGTCGATTCACAGCTCGTAAAAAATTCTCGTCAGGCAAAACTTAGCTGGACTAGAAAAAAACACGCAAATCCAGTAATCGTTAACTGCTCGGTATCTACCCGAAATCTCTCCACAAGATGTGGGAGGAAGCCGCTTTTTTAGGTGGATCATTTCGAGCCCGTATGCTCGGGCAAAATTGCCCGTAGACCTCGCATGCACGGGGTCGGGTAGCTGTCTACCTCCACAGACAAGACTTTGCTCTTCGGCATAGCCTTATCTGGGTTCCTCTCCGCCCGGAGGCAGGGTGTCGACAGGCAGAGTTAACTGTAATTGTTAACTGCTCTCCCTCGGTAAGAGCAAGTACTGTTTAAATAGTCTTAGATCAGTCCATCTTGTTGGGGGGGTGTTCAGCTACTCCACAACATTGATAGAACAGGGATTAGAAGAGGTAGCCAAAAGACAAAATTTGCTAAGAGGTCAGAAAATTGTGGAGGGCCATGATCATCCATGTTCTGAAGAGACACGGCACATGAAAACTGAACACGGAACTTTTTAAACTGACGACGAGAAGCTGCAAACTGGTGGGAAATTGCTATCAGTAGACGTTTCACTGGAGCAACTGAATAATCTTGGCATTAATACGCATAGAAATAGTGATTTTGCATATTTTATCAGAGAAATTCTCATTCTTGCTTTGTTTTATTTTATTTATTTTTTAGGGTAAACTTATCACATGCCGCTGATATTTCTTACGGATCAGCCAAAGCTATCACTGTGGAAAATTCCGAAATATTCGCCCTGCCCATAGAATTATCCCTTAGAGTCGCAGAATCAATTCTCTCGCCTTTTGCTGACAATTTTGTGAAGGACATCAGAAATATTTATATTAAAAAAAAACAAAAAAACTGATATATTATTTTGAAAATGTTTAAATTATGAGAAAGCCTAAAAATAAACATTTTTTTTCCAAATGAATTTGTCAAAATCCTTATAAAAGGAGAAAGAGATAAAGAAAGCCAAAAAGAGAGAAAGGAAAAGAAAGTGAAAAGAGAGAAAGAAAAATGAAAATCGAAGAAGGAAAAAGAAAAGAGGATAAGAAAGGAAAACAAAGAGAAGACAAAAAAGGAAAGAAAAATTAGTAAAGAAATAAGGCAGGAATGTAAATAAGGGAAAAGAAAGAAGAGAAGAAGTTAACAGAGGAAAAGAAAAGTGCACGAAATAAAGAAAAAGAAAGAAAGGATAAGAAAGAGAAGAGAAAAACATGAGAAGAAAAGCGAAAAAAAGGAAAAGAAACATCATAAAGAAAAGAGAGAAAAAAGAGGAAAAAGAAAAAAAGAAAGGATGTAGAATAAAGAATAGAAAATGTCAGAAGGAAGGTAAAAAAAGGATAGTAAATAAAAGAATGAGTGGGAAAAGAAAAAATGACAAAGAAAGAGTAAAAAATAAAAAAAAAAGAAAAAAGGAAAGAAAAGTAGGAGAAGAAACAGAGGAAATAAAGCGAACAAAAAGTAAAGAGGGGAAAAGAAAGGCAGTGAAAACAAAAGAAAAGAAAAAAGGAAAAAAAATAAACGTAAAATTTTAAACAGATTAAAAGAAAAAGAATTGTAAGGGAAAAGAAAGCGGGAAAAGGAAAGGAAAAGAAGAAAAAAGAAAGAAAGTAAAATAAATGAGGAAAAAAAGCAAGGGAAATGTAAAGGAAAGAAAGTACTTGACAAAGTGGAAAATGTAAAAAAAAAAAGGGAAGAAAAAGGAAAAAAAGGAAGAAACAAGAAAAAGAAGAAGAAATTGCCAGAAACGGAAGAAGATATAAGAAAATAGAAAAGAAATGAAAAAGAAGAAAGGTAAAATAAAAGTGAAAAGAAAGAAAGTAAAAAGGAATGACCAAGAGCAAAACGTGAGAAAGGAAAAAATAAAGAAATATACGAGAAAGGAGGGAAAACGAATAGAAAAACAAATAAGTCTGAAGAGAGTGTATAGAAAAGAGTGATAGTTCGCTAGTTGATTTTGTAGGCCATTGCAGCAAATTCAAGCATTTTGGCCCTGACCTGTAGGAAACAATTGTCCCTTGCAGCATTTGTTGATCAGTTCATATCTTCAGCAACGGGAATTGTTCTCTTTCATAATCGGCCGTTTGAAACGGGTAATGAGACAATTCAAAAGGCGCACTTTGCAGAGGGATTGTACTAGATTTGAATGGGAACAATAATGCTTGTAAACAAGCGTACATAAGACGGACGTTTTGGGGATAAAGAGAAGTTTTCTTCTTTCTTCCCTGATGTCGAAGTTAACGACAAAAGGTTGACTGGTGATGCGTTTTCTGTTGTTCTTTGCATAAAACACGCACACATAGACACACACACACACATATATAGAGATAAATAGATATTGACATTGCATTTAAACTTGTGAAGATAAAAGTTTATATATATATATATATTTTAAGACATTTTTATACATTCTTTTTATAGATACACATATTTAAGTAAATGCTCTGTTTATAATAAACAGCATTAAACAACATTTACCGGCCTGAATATCCGAGAAATTTTCACAGAAAATATTCGTCCTCCGACTGGATTTGAACCTGTATCATATACGGAACCGTCATTTAGCTTGACGTGCATTTACCGATTCGGCTACGTTCGGTTAGTATAAAAATGTCTTAAAATAATTGTCGGACTTTGTCCATTTCATAATGTCTGACGTCATTTGTTTACATTTGATACAGACATGAATGTACGTGAGAGATTCATGGAAGATTGAAGTTTAAATACGGTAAATTCGACCTTGCTAACCGAACGCGCCTCTGTGGCCAAATCGGTAAATGCACGTCAAGCTAAGTGACGGTTTCTTATAGGATACAGGTTCGAATCCTGTCAGAGGACGAATATTTTCTGTGAAAATTTCTCGCTAGTAAATGTTGTTTAATACTGTTTATTATAAACAGAGCATTACAAATATATATATATAGAGAGAGGACGTCACACATTATGAAATGGACAAATTCCGACAATTATTTTAAGATATTTTTTATGTTTATTTGTCCATTTCATAATGCGTGACGTCATATATATATATATATGGAAAACTATGAACCTTTAAGTTGTACTACAAAGCTTGGTATATGTATATTTATTAATATATTTTTCCCGGTATTTGCGATCGTCAGACAAACTGATTTATTTTTAAATTTTGGATTTATATATGGTAGCGTATATCGGTGTTTTATGGAAGTGGGAGGGAAGAATTATCGTCGGGACGCCATGTCAATAAGTGTACGGGCGTGTAGTGATCTTTCAAGCGTAGCTTAGATGTGGCACAAGGCCGAATGTACGGGGCACCCAGCGAGGATTGAACTCTCTATCCAGTCGTAATTGTTCTAGCAAGACAAGCTTGCTAACCATTACACTGCCTCGGAGTTCCCAAGTGTATGTGCGTGTATGTATGTTTGCGTAAGTATGAGTGGAAGGACAGCGAAGAAATATGAACTGGGCGATAGACGAACCTCTCTATAACTATTGAAAAAGAAACAAAAAACAAAAAAAATGAAAAGAAAAGAGAACGAACAGGTCTTTTTGCTGGCAAGTGTATCCGAAAGAGAGTAAGAACTTGTATTTAAAAATTCTATGTATGTTTGTGTGGTACCCCTATTTTCTGCTGGTCAAACAAAGACCAATTGTGTGTGTGTGTGTGTGTGCGTGCGTGCGTGTGTGTGTGCGTGCCTTGTACATGTGTGCTTTTACTTCTACGTCCTTGTAACGTGTTATGCGATATTAGAATTAATATTTAATATAATTAAAAAGCCTTTTATTCAATTTAATTGAAAATAAAGCGTAAGATTATTCTTTCTTCCATAATCGTTTCAATTACATTATCCAAGATGACATTGACAATCATTATCTCTCTCACCCCGCCCACACTCCTTACAGGGCAAATTATTGATTTTAATAATAATAATAATAATAATAATAATAATAATAATAACAGTGCCATTAATAATAATAATAACAATGTCATTTTAACAAGGGCTACAGTGGGAACAACAAAAAATTAACACACATGAATATTTAAAATGTGAACGAAAATGGTAAAAATATTAACCCTTTGTTTTAAAAAAAAATACCATTTCCCTTGAGGGTGAAAGCGATCATAGCTCTCCACAGCTTCATCTATTTCATAATCTGTGAATTGCCATGTTTTCTTTCCGAAAGATACGAAGTGTTTTCGCTTTGGCTTCCCCTTTTATGTGCCGAGTCCCTTCAGGACGTAGGCGATCATGGCTCCACCAATTTCCTGTTCTTTGTAGCACTTAATAAATTTTGTCCTTTTGTCGTCTCTCCTAAACTTTGTTCCGCTATCCATTTACTAAGGCTCGCTATCAAAGTTTCCCTTTACTTGTCTTGGGAAAGAGAGACTGGTGGAGCCCATTCCTCTTCACGGTAGTATGTATCCCAATCGGGTTTTACTTTTCTTCTTGAAGGAGATCAAGCTACCAGCCTCGCCAGATAAGGGAGTCGATTTAGTCGCTGACCACTCGGCCATAAGAAAGTTTAAATACAACGTCAACCATCATCTTCTTTCTTCTTGAATCCTCTTCTTTTTATTACCCATTCTTCTTATTAGCATTTACTGAGTTCCTTTACTATCAGTGAAGCCATTTTCATCTTAGTGACATTATTGCATTAGTTCGGGTAAAATGATTAAAAAAAACTCGTACAGTTCTCATTGGTTAAGTGTTCCTCTGCATTTACAACTATTTGTGTATTTCTCCTGCGAAAAATTCAAAATTTTTTCCAACCCAAATATCTTCTCTTGTCCAGTTGAGAAAGGGTTTCAGAAAATTTTATGATTGCTATTTTTTTATACATTTTATACAATTTCCGATGTATATTCATCTGCATATTTATTTGATTTTGTAGGCTTACAACATAGAAATGAGATAAGAAGTTTTATTTGTGCAAATCTTCCAAATGGAGAGGATTTCTCCTACCTTGGAAATCAGCAGTCAGAATTTGTGTTTTAGCTTCGATAAGAGATATTAAATCATGTCTCTGAAAAAGAATCATAAATATCCATTTATCTTTTCAGATTCCAGACAGTTTTGCCTTTCAGCCATTTCCCAATATGTGAGGACGATTATTCGCAAGCATCGGTTTTGATGAGCAGGGCATCTGGTAAGATTTACCGATTATCGTTAACTTGAGAAAGCATTCTGTGGACGGCTTAAAAACATTAAGTGATTGCAACAGATTCTACTTCTTGGGGCTGTTCTCCATATTGCCGAATGCTTCAACGGACCCAAAGCAAATCGAGATTAAATTGGCACAGTTGCAAGGCCGTGTGGGCCATGAATTGCCTATAAAACTTCCGGGGTATTATGTAATCTATGCTTAGTTGATTAGTATCCAAATTCGATCAACTGTTGAAGAAAAAACTCACAGAATTGAATGCTACCTTCGAATCGATCTATGACAGCTGCCATTTTACTTGATTGATACAACAGCGCATACCGGCCTGTTTTCTTTGTAAACAAACGTACCTTTTTGGTCGTTCAAGCCCTAGAATAGATTATATGAATTATGAGAAAATATAATGAAATAATATTATATAACGCTGTAGCTGACATGATTGAATATCTCTTATCGAAGATAAAACGCTAATTCTGAATGCTGATTTCCAAGGTAGGAGAAATCCTCTCCATTTAGAAGATTTGCACAAATAAAACTTCTTATCTCATTTCTATGTAGTAAGCCTACAAAATGAAATAAATATTTAGATGAATATACACCAGAAATTGTATAAAATGTATAAAAAATAGCAATCATAAAATTTTCTGGACCCTTTCTCAACTGGACAAGCGAAGAAATTTGGGTCGGAAAAAATTTGAATTTTTCGCAGGAGAAATACACAAATAGTTGTAAATGCAGAGGAACACTTAACCAATGAGAACTGTACGAGTTTTTTTTAATCATTTTACCCGAACTAATGCAATAATGTCACTAAGATGAAAATGGCTTCACTGATAGTAAAGGAACTCAGTAAATTCTAATAAGAAGAAAGGGTAATAAAAAGAAGAGGATTCAAGAAGAAAGAAGATGATGGTTGACGTTGTATTTAAACTTTTGTAGATTGTAGCCGCGAGGAAAGACAGAATATATCTATCTAATTTTACCCACATTAATAATAACAAAATCGTTAACGAAACAAAAACTCAAAAACACGTCGACCAGTAAATTACTGGAAGCCAACGCGTTGAAGGCAAGCAGACTTTTGTAAATAAAGTGCTCGATATTAAAAAAAATGAACTAACAGTATTTAAAAGACAGAATAACTCTAAATAAATAGATAAGATAGAAATAAAAAAAATATATATGATTAACTTTCGATTTACAGTTTCGTAGAATCTGCGTCTCGCTTATCAGTGTAAGATAAATGTATTAAATTTTATAGATTTATATTTCCTTGGTAATGTGACGGTATTACTGTGAAACTTCAAGTAGAAAGATAAGTTATTTAAACTTTTACTTAACTTTTAATTAATTATGTTTCTCTGCATATATATTTGTATATCATTTCCTTTCTTTTCTATCTATCTATCTATCTATCTATATATCTATCTATCTATCTATCGTGTCAGAAATAGACAGGCCTTATACATTTTGACTTTTTTCAACCTACTCAGTTACTCTATTTATTTCAACCTGTCCGTTTATTGCAAGCCTCCTCTCTCTCCTTTTTAGTTCTGAAAAGAAATCAATTTTGTGTGGATTTTCAAATCAACTCTTTTATTCCAACGTACACTACTATTTCGGGCTGAAGATTATCTATCTATCTATCTATCTATCTATCTATCTATCTATCTCCTTTTTCACATGTTAATATCTATCTATCTGTCTATCTATCTATCTATCTATCTATCTATCTATCTATCTATCTATCTATCTATCTTCTTTTTCACATGTTAATATCTATCTATCTATCTATCTATCTATCTTCTTTTTCATATATTAATATCTATCTATCTATCTATCTATCTATCTATCTATCTATCTATCTATCTATCTATCTATCTTCTTTTCACATGTTAATATCTATCTATCTATCTATCTTCTTTTTCATATATTAATATCTATCTATCTATCTATTCATCTATCTATCTATCTATCTATCTTCTTTTTCACATGTCAATATCTATCTATCTTCTTTTTCACATGTTAATATCTATCTATCTATCTACCTATCTATCTTCTTTTTCACATGTCAAGATCTATCTATCTATCTATCTATCTATCTATCTATCTTCTTTTTCACATGTTAATATCTATCTATCTATCTATCTATCTATCTATCTATCTATCTTCTTTTTCACATGTTAATATCTATCTATCTATCTATCTATCTATCTATCTATCTATCTATCTTCTTTTTCACATGTTAATATCTAGCTAGCTAGCTAGATAGATAGATAGCAATCTTATGCTCTTCATATCTGTCTGCATAAAATTAAAATTGCTCAACCAAGGAAACAATAAAATTACGATTATCGATATATCAAAGTCATCATTCTATTTATTGGTATCTTTTTTCAGTAATCAAAAGTAAATAACGAGGTATTTGTTAAAGTCCATTAATTAGTTAAGATTTTATTATTTAAATAATATAAACAACATTTTCAAATAGAAGCAATTTCTGTTTCTATAGGTTTGTATTACATTTTCACTCAGTTCTTTTTAATGATACAAATTTTATGAAAATTGATTAAATCGTTAGACGCGATTAAACAGATTTTGTGTCCATTTTTTTTCTTTTTGACAATTCCGTTGTGATGGAAAACGTGATGACTATTGAAATACGTGTTTTATCTGACAGCGATTAATGATTTGTTGATGTTGTTATTTCAACGGTAATTGTCTAATTTCATTTAATTAAACACTGTGAATTATGGAATTATGAATTATATTATTTTTTTCATTGAACAACTCAATTGCCGTAATTTAGTGAATATACTAACCTTATTTAAAGAATTAAAAGTGAAAAATTAGAATATTCGCTATCTCCATAGAATACATTTAAAAGTGCATTCGACTTATTATTTCTCAAATAACCATCTCATTTCGGTTTCTAAACCCATGGTAAGAGGACGGACACGGACACACACACACACACACACACACACACACATATATATATATATATATATATATATATATATATATATATATATATATATATATATCCTGGTTTGTACTGCTCTAAAAAAACAACAAGCCGTATCGTCCAATGTAAAATACAACCCAATATAAAAATCTCAAAATTATAGAATAAATTCTCGGCTGGATGAACCGACTACTACCAACCACTAATCCCTTAGTCCTTTCTTTTCTTCTCTCACCTTCCCTCCCCACTACCAATTTAATGTGTCCGTCTGATGCATTTTCTCTATTTACGGAGGAGATTTCGATTTGAAGAGTTGAACACCTCGGGGTTCACGAAAGAAATTATAATCGAAATGGATAATTAAAGTCTCCGTCTTTTCTTATCTATCTATCTATCTATCTATCTATCTATCTATCTATCTATCTATCTATCTATCTATCTATCTAGTTGAACAGCAACCTTTTACCTATATATGTTTCCTTGAATGTTACAGAAAAATAACATATACGTTTTATTGTTAGTTTTTTTTATGTTCTTACGGTTAACCATTGGGGGCGGGCACTAAGAGAGTGTAAAAACTGTCAATAATTATTATTAACCCAAGCGCTTTCAGTCAATTCAGTAACCATTTTCAAGGGATTTTCTATTAATATATTATGTGTTTTATGTTTTATTTTATGGCGGTAATGCATTTCGAAAACTGAACTAGAAGAAATGTAGTTGCGATACCATGTTGGGGTGTCTTTTAACCTTATTCTATTTAACAATATGAATAATGTGTTGTCTGTCTCATATATATATATATACATAGCTAATAACCGATACAATGATGCAGACATAAGGAAAACCCAAACACCTCTTGTCCAGTTGAAGTAGATTTATCTGTACCTCTCTTTGTAGAGGAAACCACCGTTTGATCCGGCGTGCTTTACATCTCGGCCAAGAAGAAAAGTCCTATCTTTTAGTTCTTTTTTTTTTATTAAAGAAACTACATCGTCTTTCCTTAAACAAAACAAAATGGAAAAGAGAACCGTGGCTGAGCGGTAACGTACACTGGATCAAACATTGGTTTCTCCTAAAAACGTGACGCATGTTCGATCTCTCCAGAAGAAAACAATTTTTTACAAAGATTTCTTGAATACACTGTCCGTAGTTTCGAGGGATTCCGAAAAACTTCGTTTACCCAATATGCCTATACTTGATAGATCGGCCATGGGATTCGGAGCATGGCCTCATGTTCGATACGCTAACACTCTAACCATGCGCTGAAGCAATATTTTAAACATACTTTCTGTATTGACGCCAAATCTTTCTTTCGCAACAAATTAGCACACCCACAGGTAACACTTAACTTCTGGTAATATCTTCTCAAATCTTAAGGAAAAAAAAATCTATGACACAGTGGACAAAATTGTAGTGTGACACATTTCATCCTTCAGGACTTCATCGGAAGAAACGTGTCACACGAAAACCTTTTCTAATTTGTCATTGTTTTTTCCACAGAAAACCGTTCCTGATATATAAAAATGTATATATCGTTTTCCCATCTCCTCAATAAAAAGAAGACAAGATGTACTTTGCTTTGAAACTTGTAAGGTTCCTCATTCAGAAATTAAGTATTATTTTTTTTTATTCTTGAATTTATGATAGCATTATTTGTTATGAAAGCGAGTAATTAATATTCTAGCAGGAATAATTTCTTCTTACCAAAATCTGCCGAGATGAATATCCTAAAAATATTCAACAACCATGAATAGCTAAAAAGAACGCAAAATCATTTAAGAATTTTCTCTGATTGTTAAACAAGATTTATAATAACTGACTTCTAATCGAGTGCAGAAAATAGGAGTCGTGTCGTACATATGCCACTTTTTTGGTTAACTCTGGACGGGACGTTCGAATCTGAGAAAGATTCATTTGTTATTGTATGATGTAGCTATTAAATTGGGTAGCTGAGTTCAAATTCTGGACGAGTCAGTTGCCTTCACTTTCGTACAAGTTCATTTGTGATAATATTGGCGAGGATACTGTCCAATGATATTGACCGAAATTCTTCGAGAAAACCTGAACTTTGGATAATTTATCCACACATTTTTTCCAGAAGTGCAACAGTTTATTTTTAAATTGGAATAAAATATAATAAGAATAAAGAGAAAGCTCCTTACAGTTGAATTTGATAAAATTTGTTTACTAGAAATTTTTACTATCAAAATGTATAGATATGGAAATGTTACTATCAATATATATATATATATATATATATATATATATATATATATATATATATCCACACGTGACAGTAATTGACGTATGAAAATAGCGTTCTCTAAATTCTTCAAGTTGCTAAGGACATTTTCTTTTTGTTATTATTAGTTACTTTGCTTAAATAAATTTATTTCGATTTTTGCTTTGATAAAGTCCACATTAGACGAAACGTGCCAGCAATTACTACAGTTTTCTTATTGTCATTTATATTTATAAACATTGTCTTTTCTACAGGTTAACTCTGAGAAATTTTCATATATATATATATATATATATATATATATATATATATATATATATATATATAGAGAGAGAGAGAGAGAGAGAGAGAGAAAGAGAGAGAGTTAGTTAAAGAAATATTTTGGTAATCCGTATGAATAATCCAGAGAGCTCAATGTAAAAACAGAGCAAATATTAGTTAAATTAAGAAACAGACAACTGTAAGTGTTCATAGGATTATAGTTTATTTCCTAAAAAGGAATTTTCGTCCTGGTTCATCGAAGGTTTGGAAAAGGGATCCGATGAACCAGGAGGAAAATCCCGTTCCTGGGGAAATAAATTATAATCCTATGAACCCTTAAAGTTGTCTGTTAACTTAATTTAACACACACACACACACACACACACACACACACACACACACACACACACACACATATATATATATATATATATATATATATACTAATGTGTGTTTGGGCAGCAGTCATTCTTTTAAATATCTTTCTTTAAAAATGACGGATAAGGAAGATTTTATTAATTCTTTCTTTAGTTTTTTCAGCGGTCTTTTATGATAATACATCTCACGCAGTCAAAACATGAAAGGAAACCAACAACACAAAAACAAAAACTCTTTGAAAATGGCTAAAGAAGCGGCCGAAAACGCCACAACGGACGATATGGACAGTTTTTGTAATCCCTCATCCCACCAAACGGAAAAATGTAAGAACGCTGGAAAAAATGTATTATTATATAATGAAATGACTTGATTTGACATTGGATTTATATTATGAATTAGGAAACCCTCTTAAAATAGTTTAAAATACGTTTTCGATTCTGACTTGATTCGATAGTGTTTTTAAATTATGAATTGGATGTAAAAAAAAAACATTTTTTTTTGATTTTGACAAATATCCTGACTTGACTTGATATTGTATTTATATCAGGAATTGGAGACCATCTTGAAAAAACAATTTAAAAAAACAAAACAAAAACATTTCCCATTCTAAATAAACAGTGACATGACTTGATTTGACATTATATTTATATTAAGGATTGGAGCAATAATGAAAAAAAAAAAAAAAAAAAAAAAAAAAAAATATTTTTCGATTCCAACATATACCGTGACTTGACTTCATTTGACAAAGAGGTCCTTATGTCATAATTTAAAATTTAAAAAGAGTTATTTTCCAGAAATATCCCGTTTAAAAGTTTTTCTTGGCGAAAAAAAATTTTTTATTACACACACACACACACACACACACACACACACACACACACACACATATATATATATATATATATATATATATATATATATATATATATATATATATATATATAACAGGCAAATGTGTGTGTGTAACAATGCACAACCACAATCGGCGGATTTGCACCAAAATTTATATGCACATGCTCCAAGTTAACGGGAAGGCCAAGACCATTTGCATTTCCAACTCCCATCGATAGTGGAAATGTCGATTTTCATGCTTCTACGGCAGTTTTCATGTAGTTTGCAGCAATTTTCTACTGGCTAGAGGAGAGCCTATAACTGGCTGCCACGAATAGGCAGGGAAGATTCTATTGGCCAGCGTGAGAGCCAACAGCTGACTGACACGATCATGTTAACTAGCATGCTAGCATGCAAAAAAAATCGATAGCTGCATTCGTCACAAGTGGAAAAATTTAAATCTGCATGGCACTTTACCCAATTGGCTTATTCACTTGCTTAAACTCAACATTGATTCTGATTCCAGAACTGGGTTAGGTGTGAAAAAAATATTTGTTGTTAACATTCTTTTTTTTCATTCAGTTTTCCAGTTACGAGTCCTTTTTTAAAGCTGATCGTTTTGTGTTCATTTTGTTTAGTTCTTTTCGTAACAGATTTAATGTTTAGTATAGAGCTTAGAAAAAAAATTGCAATGTGAGGTGAGGCAAGAAGTAAGGCATGTAGCAACATCAGCATGGCAAAGGGTACTCCTTTAAAGGCAAAGAAGGGAAAAATATTTTAAGCCAAGTGATAGCGATTGCTGCATGAGTCGTACGATTTTTAAATCAAGCACAGGCAACGCCACCAAACTGCTAACTATATATATATATATATATATATATATATATATATATATATATATATATATATATATATATATATGTGTGTGTGTGTGTGTGTGTGTATATATATATATATATATATATATAAATATCCAAGTATATGATTGGTGTATACAAATAAATTCCAATAACCAACAATTACTATTCTTAAAAGAGTGCTCAATACAGAGTAGAGCGAATATAATTATTTATTTAAAAATTATAACATACATATGTTATAAAATCACTACAAAAATAGTCATTTTGTTCTAACACCTCTGGTGGCTTATCAAGTGATGGTATTGAATGTAGATTACATTCAACTTTATCAGTTGAAAAGATTTTTTGTAGCGATTTTATAACCCATGTTATAATTTTTAAATAAATAATTATATATATGACAGTTCATTTCATGCACAATCCTTCTACGGTAAAGCTCGATATTGATCGGGTGCTCCCATTTTGCGGCCCTATGCCAGACTAAAAACTCTTTTGTAAATGTTTATTTGTAATCAATAATTAATTCCTATTCATCTCATTAATTTCTATGTTGTTTCTCTCTCCTACCACTTTTACATTCTCTTCTCCTCATCCAGCACCTTCCATTGTTTAAGAATTTTCACTCTCTTTTCTCCTTCCCCTACTAACAATTATTCTCCTTCTCCCTTATCTATTCTCCCCTTTATTTAAATTGCCTCTCGCATTCTAACTCTTTCTTCTTTCTTTTATTATTTCGAAACGGCTTCTCTTCCTCCTTTTAATATCCTCCGCCTTCTTTTTTTTTCTTATATACCTCTCGTACTAACCTTCCCTTGTCCTTTTTGTTGTTTCATTTACTTCCTTTTCTACTCCTCCCACCACAACCCTTCGCCTTCCTTTTTTTTTCAGCCTTTACCTAACCCGTCCTCCGTACTATTTGCTCTCCTCCTCCTCCTCCTATCTATCGTTTTACGACGCATCCGCCATTTATCTTTTTCTATTCTCCTTGTCTCAATCTGTTCTTATCTCTTCCCTTGGTTCTTTCAGCCTCTCTTCTTCTCCTCCTCCTCCTCCTCCTCCAACTAAAGTCCCCTCCCCCACCTTTTCTTCTATTCACCACATTTCAACCTGCTTCGACATATCTCTATTATATTTTGCTTCTCTTCCTGGTCTTCACTCTCCCTCTTTCCAACTCTTTCCCATTCTTTGGTATTTGAATTCTTTGCAAGCTCATCAATAAAAACCTGCACGTAAATAGGCGTCAATTTCCTTTACATGATGAGCAGCCTTCCCAAATTCCAACGGAATGGCGTGTCCAGATCGCCACAGTCACTACAACAAGTGTGAAGTGACAGATTCGAAAGGAATTATTAAATAAATAGAAATTACAGAAAAACAAAAAAAAACAAAAAAAACCAAAAAAATCTAGACCAATTCCTTAAAGACCACACCAATTCCGTAAAGGCTAGACCAATTCCTTAAAGAAATGAATGTTTAAACAGAAAAAGAACATTCGGAATAAACTTGTCTTTCATCGAAGGAAACAAAATCTCTGAATCTATTTTTTTTAATTGCTTTTTGGCAACATCTGTATTTAAAAAAAAAAAATTCACTCCAAACAAGGCAGTGTTATATTTAATATTAAATAAACCCCAAGTGTTATCGTAAATTCAACTAACCTAACCCAATCATTAGTAAGTTTTAATGTTTATGAATTGATCAACTCAATGCTCAGGTTGATGAAAAACTAGTGCGTTATTTTCCGAAATCTTTTCGGCAAAATCTGTATATATATATATATATATATATATATATATATATATATATATATATATATATTTAATGTTTTATAATATAATTTCACTCCAAGCAAGGAAATAAATCCACCAAGACGTAAGGGCTTACTGAATGTTAGAGAATATGAGAAAAAGAAAACATTATTAAGGAATGAGAACAATGAATGAACATGGACTAAGAAGACAGAAGATAATGATTGACATTGCATTTAAATTTTTGAAGATCAAACTTGACTGGAAAGCAAGAAGCTGGAAGAGAGTTCCATTAGGCAGAAATTCGAGAAAGACTGTGTTGAACCCTTTCTTTAGAATAGGCTTGGCTCCTTAAGAGAATCAACTTTTGCAACACAAGGTGCAAAAATTGGCTAATGGCGTTGGTGGGAAAGAAACGACCATCTTATTCACAAAACAGGCTTATATTAGAAAGACAGATATTCTGTTACAATCCAACATTGTATTGTGAGACCCAGTGTCTTTTTTTTTTAAATAGGTCTCATATCGTTTTTGAATGTCCATAATTATTATTTATATACTTATAAAATCATTTTCGCGTGCGACACGAATTTGATGAGCCTTAATCCAAATTAACGCAGCCTTCGCAGTAATTAATCAGCTTTTATAGTAAGGGCAATATTAGCCGTTTTCTTATAAGGAAACATTCAGCATTCATAGAGAGAGCAGCCAGTACTACTTTCGGCTGAAATTTATAAAATCTTTCTATTAAAATTATTTTTTTTCAGGAAGATAGTTGTCTCAAGTACGGTAACTGCTTATCGCTCTTTCAAATATTGATGAGGGTTTCTTTCCTAGTCATTTGTTTGAATTAGAGTACAGACTAAACATCTTTATTATGCCATTATTTTCTCTTCAAGTTAAAGTGCTATCCATTTTAGCTGTTGCTGCTGTTGAAAGTCCTCAATGTATGGTTATTTACTAAGCGTGGCTTAGTCTGGCGGACCAGGTGAGTATTAAACTGATGATTTGTTAAAATGCTTCGCACAACTAGATTGACAAGTGCTCGGTAACAAAATACATTGTTAGATTATCTGGCAAAATGAAAAATTAAAAATTGCACCCACGATATAGTAGCATCTGCTTGTGGGACTAGTTTGTTAATCGCTGCCTCGACATGGAGCTCCAAACACAGATTAGTTTTCTAAGGTTAGCGTGTTATACTCTGAAGTTTTTGCTGGTAACAAAATGGGAAATGTTTGGATTATATTTGATAATAATAATAATAATAATAATAATAATAATAATAATAATAATGCGCACGCACAAATCACACACACATATTACAAAGGAAGAATCATGTGCAATCCCTGTTGGATATCATATTCTCTTTATTAAGATTACTCGAATGAGCAGACCTTTACATGTAAGACGCACTGTTTAAAACAAAAATAAAAAGGTGACGACTATTATCAAATACGAATATCCACTTTTGAATTGATCACTATCTATCTATCTATCTATATATATATATATATATATATATATATATATATATGTAAGGATAGAAATTATTAAATTTATCGAATCTAAAAGAAGAAAAAGAAACCTCAACAGAAAGCACTGGACGGCCATTTCGAGCCATATTTGGGACACATCATCAGTGCGCATACACTATCGAGAAGTGAAACTCGACCCGTCACGATATGAGGTAAAAGTTATACCAACTGTAACAACGGGCTTCGGTTTCGGAAGGGATAACGAATTAGACTCGATATAGCGCCGCTTGATCACATATTCCGTGATGGAACTCATTCGGGTTTCCCTTACCTACAAAACTGTGCCACCATGAGCCACGACTACTGTTCCCAATCCGCTCAAACTATATTTATTAAATTACAATTTAATCTAATTTATATGTTCTGTTATAATAAATACATTGAGCTCTTTTTGTGGATCCGTTTTACTATTTTATATTATTAGGATTCAGTTGGATTATATACCAACGGATTATTACCTATATTATATATATATATATATATATATATATATATATATATATAAATATTACTTCAATGGGTGCTCCATACTTCCCATTTTGTGACACATCTAAGCTAATCTTAGTAAATCGATATATATATATATATATATATATATATATATATATATATATATATATATATTACTACCAAAAAAGCGCGTTACTAAAATTTAAATGGCAGTAAACCGATCTCCACACGCGCTCAGAATAGGTAAATTCCATTGTTCGTGTCGTTCTTTAATATACGCCGACGGCAGGTACTCTATCCAATGGATATTGAGAACTGTATGAAAAGAAATCAATGTTAGCCGGCATTTGGCAGATCTGTATTTCATTTGAATGATTAACAGTTTTATATATATATATATATATATATATATATATATATATATATATATGCAGACGAAAGTATATATGTAAGCATACATATTATACTTAGATATTACTCTCATATCGACAGTATATATCAAATAGAAGCAATATTTTCGAAATAAGATTTATACTTACCAACTCATGGTGGTAACATTTACAGTATAAACTCATACTTATATGATAAATAAACAATATGAATTTTAGCTTATAGTATCTATTCGATTAGAGATATTTCCATAAATTATTTATTTAGATTTTATTATGGGAGCCAAGGACGGAGTGTTTTATAATCTGAAGCTGGCACGATATACTGTCCATACATATATCCTAAAAATTGAATCAACACTTCTGGTTAGTAAGAGTTGTATTGTGTAAACATTGACTTGCATCAAAACAAAACAACTTGATATAGTTTATAATAAACGGCTGCCTCTGTGAATAATCGTAAAAATCGATGCCCTACTGAAAGGACATTACAAAATGAAAGAGCATTATATGGATGTCTCATCCAGCCAATTTTTCAGCACTTTCGTCATCGCAATAATCATTGGCTTCCGTTCAAGTCTTCTCAAACACTCCGGCATTGATATTAAAGCAATGCGTATGTTGCTCAATGCTGAAATTTTTCCAGGCTATTAAACAAGGACAAGAACAATTAGGACGTAATCTTTTAATGCAAAAAAGAAATTAGGAAAACTTAAATACTGCTTTTACTTTTTTCAATTACCTACCAATCAAAAAGGAAAGTATTGATACTATGAAAGCAAAATCAAATCCTGGAAATGCAATGTGCTTTGCTTGATAAAATCCTTGTCTTTAGGTGACAAATAAGGTGTAACAGAAATTTATCTCTGAAGAAAGATAAGGCAGTAAAAGAAATCAAGGAGAAAGAACTACAAAATGCTTAAGCATCTCACGGTCTTCTTTAAGGCGATTTTACAAGCGTAGCTTAGATGTGGAATAAGGCCGGAAGTAGGGGGCACCCATTGAGGATCGAACTCACTACTCAGTCGTAATTGTTCTAGCGAGACAAGCTTGCTGACCATTACCACGCCTTGAGGCGCCCCAGGGTCTTCTTTAAGACAAGCAATATAGTTTTCGCTTCTCTAATGACTGATTGCACCTTCTTGGGTTAACGTTCTCAGCTGACATGGAATTAAAACACTAAATTAAATCCATTGTTAGATCAGCTGCTAAAAATGTCGGTTCACTGTGGCACGCGAGACAATTTTGCTCTTCGGAATATATCTTGCAAATTTACCCTTCGTCTATGTGTAGAATATTGCTACCATATATGATCCAGTGCCTCTTCTATTTACCTGGAGATCTTTGATAAGATCCAAAGAAGAATCAGCAATATTATTGGTCCTGATCTGGCTCCAGTCATTTGCCCACCGCCGTAATGTTGTCTCTTTGTAAATACTTCATGGTAATTGTTCTTATGAGCTGTTCGCTATGGTACCTAGACTGTAAAAACTTAAGCAAAATACTAGACTGGCTACAGTTGAGCTGGCGAAATGTAGCCGTGAATTCTATGCTAACAGTTTTTTTTTCTTGCACTTCTTGCTTATGGCTCCATGCTTTCCAGCCAACTTTAATCTGCAAAAGTTTAAATGCAATGTCAATTGCAATCTACTGTCTTTCTGATTATTCTTTTCTCTTTCTGCTCATTATTAATGTTTCTGTTTCCAATTCTTTCACTTCTGTAACCCCTTGCGAGTTAGTGGCTGTACTACCTTGCTAGGGGTGATACCGATTTTAAAAAACCCCAAAAACAAAACTGATAATGTACTATTATTACTGAAAGAGTTTATTAAACCATAGATAAGTTTTGTGAAGCTTGGTCATCTCGAAAAGGTTTGAAAAGGCCCTGAAATGAAATTTGCCCTGAACGGCCACAGTTTTATATTTTTGGTACCAATGGAGATGTCCCTAGGGCTCTATCCTTGGGTCTACTTACTTCTTAATTTTCAGGATCTTAAATTAAAGGAACATTCTGTGACCATTATTGGTTAACAAGTGCGCCTCCCAGACAGGTGCGATTGTAGTGTCTGTTATAAATAGTTAAGTTTTAATTAG